ATGCCAGGTAATCTGCCTGATCTCCTGCGGCTTCAGCCGACAGCAACATCGACGCCTGAGGAGGGCGCATTCGCAAGGCACTTGGAGACCAAGCCCGAACTTGAAGAACCCCCGTCACAAAATGACTCAGCCACTCAGCTCGCCACCGGAGAAAGAGGTAGCTGTCCAGAAGCTGGTTGCCCATCAGGGGACTTGGTACGGGTACGCTTGCGCTTCAAAATCTCGAAACCGGCTGCAATGCGTTGCATCAGCTTCAGGGCAGAACCACGCTGCTTCGCGTTGGGGTGGGCAGCGCCTCCCAACACATGCACTTGTAGGACTAAACACTGAACCACTAGTCAGCGGCAAAGATGTTGGAAGAGTCTGAATTGTAGACAGGGTCTTCCGCAATCCGACCAAGAGCTTAAAAAACGGAGACCCCGGCGTGCCTGATCCCGGGGCACGTCCATTGGGGACAGCATCGAAGCCTCAGAAAATCCCATCATGAGCCTCTGCAACAAAAAAGGAGTCAACACCAGCAGCTCGTTGCAACCAGCTTTTCAGAACCCGAATTGAGGCTGATGCAAGGCTTGGGATCGCTGGGCCGTATGACTGCCTCATATCCTCAGAGGATACGATCACGGGACAAGGATTCTTCACATGGTACAAGAATGAAACTTGATGGCACTGCAAGTTAGATTCCAGTGGCCATTGGAGTTTCAGTGGTGGCGATTAGTGGTGGTTCGTGTAATAGAATGGGTTAGTGGTGGCTTGCGTAGCATAGCAGCAGAAGCCGCATTAGTAGCGCTGGCGTTGGTAGCAGTGGCAACAGCAACTGCGGTAGCGGCGGTAAAAGCAGCAACAATCAAGAGGTTGCGCAGTCAGGCACCGGCCTGATCGGGCTTGCCATCGGGCCCCAACAGCCCAACCTTGCAAAGCTAAGGATCTTCGGCGGGTGCTGCTTCAGTGAATCAATGTTCTTAGCATGCTCCGAAGAAGAAACTAAAGTACAGGCTCTTCAAAGTCCCCCAAACCACCTTCATGCGGCAAAAAGCTTGCCAAGGTCATTTGCGACAGCTACATGGGGGCTGCAAAACGAACTGGCCACTGCACATCAAGCACCATCTAAGTTCAGTGTAAAACACCTGTCCCTTCCAATGATGAGCTGCGATCCTACAACAGCCTCTCTGCCTTTCTCGCTTAACTTAAGCAGCTTCTGAGATGGCAACCGGGCTGGGCATTGAGGGGCTTGGCAACGCAATTCCACCCTGGCGAGTTCATCATGGGACATATGGTTACTTGGCCTTGCACTGACTGAATTCTAACGTCAGATACATGGTCGGCATTCTCTTTCAGCCTGGTCATTGCCCATGAAGCGCTCACCCCTCATCACACCAACCTGACAAATAACAACTAAGGGATGTCTTAGTGAGGCCAATCCCACAATGGCCACAACTGCCGTTCATAAGAAATCTTGAAGTTCCTGATTTTGGGTATCTGGTGTTGTGACCAACCACCAGAGCAGGGAAAACATGCTGTTTTCTCTCTTAATCCTGGTGTCTGGCTCTGCTTTCCTCAAGAAATTATCCTTGAACTGAAGCTGGTTTGTTGAATGAAGCATTGTCCGTAGCGATTAAGCCATTAACCTAACTGCAAATGCATCACGCATGGCCAGGTGTACCTGCCTGAGGGCTCGCATGGCACTTGGCCAGAAAAATGCCGTTCAAACAGTTGTTTCAGACAGCACCCGCGCTACGATTATGCATGCTAAAGTTACTGTTGAAGGCTACCAGCACCATTCCCAAAACGTTGGCAGGGTCACCGGATCAATCAACCAGGGAAAAACGCGCCTCGTTGAGCCCTTCTAGCGGAGCCAGCAAGGTCGCCTGCATGTGCACTGAAGATTTCTTGAAACCCAGGAATCCAGCACAAGCTTTTGCATTCTCAACAGGATACGGCCGTCGTGGGCATGAGGCCAACAGCACTGGGGCGCTCGCCAGGGAAGGCGTGCGCGCATGTGAGTGCACGTGCCCCTGAAGGCAAAGTGCATCGCCAGGAAACCGTTTCTGCACATTCAGCTTTTTCGGCCTGCTGGTCGTATACTTCCTCTGGCTGGCGAAGGAGTGTAGCCTCATCACAGAGCTAGCCGCAGAAAACACGCAACTTCGCTGGACAGTGTCTTCCAGCCTGCAATTCAATTCCCAGCCTAACAGCTCGCAACCCTCTGGGACCACGGCCAGAGAGGGTTGCGTGCTGGATGTGCTTTTCACTGCCTCACAGGCTCTGCGGGGTTGTGTTGCAACCAGCTCGGAATCCGCTGGCAGTGTTGGAGCAAGCTAGGTGTCAAACAAATTACAGCCTTCGAAAAGAACTAGAAGCCAGACACGTGTGAAAAGTCCAGCGCAAAGAAATCAATCAGCAAAGGGAATGTCTACATTTGCACGGTTCTGCTGCGTTAGCTTGGGTGCGAACCGGCGAATGATACTGCATCGGCATCTGGCCCCCATGCGTGCTGCAGGCCTGCAGAGCTTCAAGCATTTCATGCCCTACCATGTCCTACGTCCCGATGCGAAGCTCCTCATGGAAGGCGTCCATAGGCAGGGGCGATGCCTTAACAGCAATGGCATTGTCTCATCAGCATCCATTGTCTGCCTAGCGGCTGTTTCCAGCTGGGACCCAAGCAAGTGGGCAGGCCTCTTGGCTCGACATCCACAACATCAACCGAACAGCTGAAGTATAAGTTTTTCTATGAATCTAATACACTGTAATGAAAGCATGCCCAAGCTGGCTTGCGGGGCCTGCTCCTGATAGCGGTTCTCCTGTGGCAGCATGGAGGCCTGCAGCTTTAGCAATGAAAACCTTCCCGTCATGCTGGACTACTGGGCCGCTACTCAGGTCCTGGTCTGGATCTCTTCGCAGCGTTGCTGAGGACCCCACCAGGGAGGGCACGCGGCTATGCCTGACCTGTCATCAATAATATCTTGCCAAGCCTGAACTTACTCAAAGCTAAGCAAAATCTGCTCGGCATACAAGGCAGGTGCTGACTCTCAACCTCTGCCGTCATATGAAGAAAATTCCGTTCACCAACCCGGCAATCAAAAATCCATAGATAATCTTTGTAAATCCCCCATGAAATTCCCATCTAACTGCTAGTGAAATTACATGCACCTGTGGCCAGGCCTGATCTGAGACTTCGCCTTGGGGGAGTCTCGAGGCCTCACAGGTCTCAAAAATGTGGAACACTCAAACTGTCAAATCAGCCCACACGCTCGATCTGCGTCCAAATTCATGGGTGAAACTTTTACGTCCTAGCACGAGTTCGTGAAGACAGCTGGAAGTCATGAACTGCCACTTGAGGTCTGCCACCCTTTATCAACCAGGGCCAGAACAAAGGATGGCGCCGGCCGCTGGGGAGAGTGGCGCGATACCTTGCCAAGGCTCGATCCGCTTTGTTTCTTCTAGGGTATGGCATATTATTTTGCAAAAGAGAATTCTTGATTTGGAACGTTTTTAATAGAGGCTTGATGTTGTTGTTGGTGTTGCTCCTGCTGGCTTTCAGTTTTTTGACTTCCACAGCCCGGGTACATGAACGATCTCTGAGGCGCGCGCCGGAAAGCCTTTCTGACGCATGCGCCCCTGCACTGCCTCGCCAGGACGACTCACAAGCCCTTGCTCATCTGTTGCATTCTGTCGGCGTCATGTTGAGGCCCAGGCTGGCGAACCCATAGCATGTGGTGGAGACAGTGGGGACGGCGGCACCTTCAGCTGAATGAGGCACTAACTGCTAACCAATTTTGTGATCATAGGCTCGAAGGTGCGAAGGAGCCAAGCCGCAGACGCTGCAGGCGCTGCTTGTTGACAAGTGACCTCGCAGTTGCCTCCGCGGCGCCTGTAGGACCAAGCTCAGCAGGCGTGTCCAGACACACCAGTCAGAAAGTAGAACCAACTTATGCAGCAGTGCCCTGGCCACTTGAGACGCATCATGCAGATGCAGGATACCCTTCTGCTGAGCATGTCCCGGCCTCAGACAGGTCACTGTGAGACGCCTCAGACAGGATCCACTGTTCGCAGAAATGTGCTCTGGTGCAACTGCGGCCTTAACACGTGCATTGGAATCTAATGCTCTCTCCCATCAAGATGTGCTCAGACCGATGCTTGGCCGTGACCCCCCAGCTTCGCTGGACAAGTTCAGGGAGACAAACGCATCTAAAAATGTCGTTCAGTATACGGAGATATCCGCAGATGTAACTTCTTTAGTGGTCCTGCGCTTAGGCAGAAATCTTCAACACAATGTGGTCAGGTACAATGTGGTCAGGTCTCTGAGGGCATGGCCAAATGCGGCAATCCTTCGATGACAGACGGAGATGCCTCTACCTCAACAGCCAAGCAACTGGCCCAGTGCGCAAAAACAATTGAAACTCAAACTTCCTGAGCCTCTCAACTCTCCAACCCTGGTGATCACAGCTGCAAGGAGTAGGATGCATCATCATCACCACCATCATCATCATTAGGTGAAGCAAGAGGATGAATCATTTCAATCGGCTATACCAATCGTCATGAAACACTTGCCAAGCGTAATAGTGCTCTACAGGCGACAATGGCTCCTCATGATCCCTGCGACCCAGGTGCGCCAGGTGATGCCGCCGGCGATCTTTGCCCTCGGCGCGCCGCCCGCGGCCGCTCTGCCGGCTGCGGCTTATCCAGGCCCACCCTGCGATGCTTTGCTTCACGGCTTTCAACACACTTTGGATAGACCATGGACAGTTACACACGAAAGCCAAAAGGCGAGGGCATTTGTAGGACCACCACTCATTCCTCCCAGAAAGGTTCCAAAACAGAAACCTGTCCTCCACTTGCAGAATTACATAAACACGCATGAGTATGCCACAAAGACCTGTCAAAATCGAGCACCTTGCTATGGCACAAGTTGTCTGTTTCCAGCAAGTGTTCCAGGCCATGCAAAAGGTGTTGCACAATCACCAAGGATTGTGGGCACACTTCATCCAGAATAGCCAAGTTACGCTGCAAAGAGGAGTGTGACTCGCTCATCTGCGTCTTCATGGCCGACGCGTTGGAAAAGCCTGGTGCTCTGCATGTGCCAGAAGTAATGAACAAACAGCTGGCTGCTTCCACCAATTTGCCAAGGATTGCCAAGACTATTGCTGGGCAACTCAAGGTTTGCTTCGGAGCAGAAGTTTGAGGGTCTTGAAGCCTTAGAAAAAACCGGCAGCACCTACATCGTGTGGCCGCCAGCAGTTGTTTCTGAGAATTGCCACAAAGCATACCTGTTCCCTGAAGGCAAATTAGACCCCAAGGCGCAGGAGTTGTTGTGATCTAGGCATCTGCACAAAGAATACGGCGCCTGAACCCCTAAGCTGCAAATCCCAATGCCACAAAAACTCCCCATGCTGGCCTTGACAGGATGCTAGCTGTGATGGCGGATGGTCTGAGACCACATTCCACCATCTCAGCGAAAATGCCGCAGCCTGCGACAGCGACAGACACGGGAACAAGCAACAGCCGTTCCTTGAAGAATGGACACAGACTTACTGCGCCAAGTGGAAATCACATGAACTTGGGTGACTCATGATTGCTGGAGCATTGCTAGCATCATTGATTGCTACATGCCCTGCCTGCTTTCCAGTCATCGGACTTAACGCAGCCTCCCGCTTGGCAGGACAGTAGTTCATAGGAAGAGGCAAGCGCGAAAACCTACATGGAGGGTGCCTGCTTGTAGCTCAGGCGCTTTCTCAGGACAAAGACATGCAAGCAAAGACCCCCTTACTGCCTGCACACTGGCCAACATGCAAGCCTCATAACAATATCAGCTCTCATGCATTACTAGGTACTAGACAGCCAAGGACTCTTGTCTTTACTGCTTCCTGAAAAAAAATATCCGAGCAAGACCACGTACAATGCCTTCCATGAGGGTGTTGTAAACCAGTTCGTCGCATCGAAGGCAGCGTTCCTTCATGTCATCGAACATGCACAGTGCCTGAACCAGGAATGGCAGGGGCGCTGTCTCACTCGTCTAGCCTCTTCAGATTCAACTCCGCAAGTCTTCGGCCTTGAGCAGCTCACCGTTTTGGCAATAGCCTTTCAAGACCGTGGAGTAGCCTCAAATTCACAGTTCATGGCTCAGCATTCATGCTTCGCATCACTGGCAAAATCTGACTCTGGAAGCTCACACAACAGCGTGCACCAAGTCGCTGATGAGGTCTGGCTCAATGTCTACCTCTGTCTGCACCATTTGCTCCAGGATGTTCTCACAGGTCAACGAGCTTTCGCACACGTAGAATCAAGTGACAAGAGAGAGGCTGCAAAAACACAATTCTGATGAATATTGGGGCAATATTGGGGTATTATAAGGATAATGGGAAAGACTATGGAAACTACTATACAGTCTATTGGGGTTATATTGGAATGCAAAGGTGCAGAGGGGCAAACGGGCTCTTATGGATTGGTCCTACTGGCTCTCAAGTATTATACTATAGTAGTTTCAGGGGTTAGGGTTTAGGACTCTAGTGGCTTCCATTTTCTTTTCCGTTATCCCACAAAAACCCCAATATACTACAATAGCTTCCTTTTTCTTTTCCATGATCCTGATATTCCCAGGAAGGAGTGAGTGGAGACGACTGTCCTCAGCAGAGATGATGTCACCGCACTTGACGCAGGCTTCCAGGATCGAGTTGTAGGTGATCGTGTTGTAGGGAACCTTATGGACATAGGCTCAGGCCCAGCTGGACAGCAAAATAGGTGGCGTTTTGCGGCATGTTGCCCCGGCTTGATTGTGGGCGGGGTCCGGACTCCACCGTCTCAGGGAAGGCCACAAGTGTGAGCTTCAGCTGAAAGCACGGCCACTGGAAGGTCACTGAGCAGGCAACCCCTTCACCGCGCATCTCATGAAAGAGCTCGAGGGCATTATCCAAGTCTTTATGCAAACCATAGCCTGCCAAAGGTCTTGCTGCAGTGGGCTATCTGTCTTCTCTCCTTTCTTAGGCGTGAGGAGATGCGAGGCCGCTTGCAGACACAGATTCTGCGGATCCGCCGCAGGAAAATCTCTGCAAAAAAGAGATTTCAACACAGCATTGAAATGATTGCAATCACCAGGTGCGTCGTCAGTTACTTTCATGCTTTTAGCTCTGCTGAAGCCAGGGTACGGACAGCTTCGGCTACATGAACAGCCATGTCGGCCTTTGATCATCGTGGTGTACAAGATTGTGTTGCGGTGCTTTCCCGTGGCACCTCGGCTACCAGGGACAGCTTTTCCGGACGTGTGTTCTGAGCTCATGGGGACGTGTCAAACCCTGCTAGATCAGTCAAATGGCGCATACCCTTGAACACCTCGACTGCCTTCTGCAGGTTGCCGCACTTCACGCATGCGTCCAACATGCCTGAGTCATTCTTGAGATTATGTTTGGCTTAAACAATGTGACAATGTAACAATATAATTGTCAAGATGCATCCATATGTGACCGAGTTGGCCTGGCCTCGCTGTTCCTGGCGTCAAATGGATTCAGGATGGGGCACTCCAGAGGGAAAGAAGATTTCAGATCCTTATCATTCCTACTATTACTGATATTACTACTATTACCATTATTACTATTAGTACTGCTCTTACTAGTACTAGTATTATTCGTATTTACAAAACTCCAAAACGGATTGTTTGGGAACATCATGAACTTATGAGAAAGACGCCTGGCAGCCTCGTTCTGTTATGCTCTCCCTAAAGCCTAGACCCTAAACCCTAACCCCAGTACATACCCTGTCGTAGTACAGTAGCTTCCATATTCTTTTCCATTATCCATATATTACTCTATATACCCCAATATATTCGGGTTGTGGATTGGGGGGCCCTTGTTCCCTGCTATAACCCCTATATCTATATACATATATCCTGTTATGATATAGTAGTTTCCTTTTTCTTTTCCATTATCCCTATAAAACCCCAATATATAACCCGGGCCTCCATTTCATCCCAAGCTGCCAGGACCTTGTCCAAGTCACCAGCTTGCCCATACGTCTTCACCAGGATGCCTTGCCGCAGTATGATAGTAGCTTTCATTTTATTTTCAAGGATGCCGACAAAAACCCAATAATACCCCTTGACTTACATATACCTGGAATTCCTCGTTCGGGATAAATAACTTCAATCATCTATTCCCATATATCCCATTATATAACCCATTATAGTAGTCATCTGACTGCCAACACTCCACCACTTGGGCCAGTGCTGATCACAAATGTAATGCCAGCCAAGAAGCCCAGCGTTATGGGCGAGGGCCTGACCTTTAGCTGCCGCATCCATGTCACGCAGCTTTCAAGCCTTTTCAAGTCCTGCAAGGCATGTCCATGGCCATGTCTTTTCACAAGCTCACTGTTGGCCACATTTGAATACCCAGCAATGCTGTCATGAGCAAGATACAACTTCGGACATCGTACTGGATGCAAAAACACGCAAATACTACTTAACTCCCGTTGTGCAAAAACCTCAGAGGTACTCTTGTGCAAAACCTGGGTACAGAGTGGATGCCGTCACACGATTTTCCACTTGCTGCTGATATCAACTGGTCCTTGAGTCGGCAGCATGTGTCCAGCAGGGCATTGAACAAGACCTCATCGACATCCTTCCAGAAGGCATATGTAAAGAAACAAATTTGGCATGAAGGCCCTGTCATGATGCATTGTGCAACAAGCCTCCGGTTGCATCTCAATGAATCGCTCGACAAGCGCGATTCCCCTGTACGCTCTCGTTGGATCCAAATGGGCTTGCCCATCACCTACGGTCTTCATCAACATCCTGGAGACAGTGTACCTTGCAGGTTCAACAAAGCTTCGCCTGGACAATAATCCCGCCCTCCGGTCAAAAAGCAGTATGCTGGAGCACTTGTCCGTTGTCTTGCCATCGGCATGCATCTGCTCAAGGGCATCCCAAGCCTCATCCACACCTGGCCCATCGTGACCGAACCCATTCAAGCCATGGTTCAAGCCATCGCATCGCCTCGCCGCCGCATAACTTCTTCCAGTGCATTTACCGGAGTTTTGACACCGCTTCGCCCTCCTCGTAGCGGGGTTGGAACCTTCCGTGCACGACAAGCAAATGCGAGCAATGGCCAAATGGATGCCAATGGTCTGACTCTCTGCAACGCGCGCCTCTTTCAAAGCATCCTGTGGTCCCTCCTCCGGTTCCTCCCGGCTCTCCTTGATGATGCTAGCAACCCGTCGGTGGCCGTTGCGACCCATCACGTACAGGCCTTAGCACTTCCAAATCCCAAGACTAAGATTGTGCTCCCCACTTTGCCACGTACAGATGCTAAGACTGAGCAAGACTGACCTGTACTGTGTCATGGTGCTCTTGCAATTTCTCACTACTGTGCAGGCACGCACTTCTTAAGCAAGGCACCACAGGAGCGCGGCAAACTGATCAAGGGGGCTGCTTCCAATCATCCACTTGCAGCCAAAGCTGAGAGCCGCAAAAGGGCCGCAGCACGCATCCAACTCGTTGCACACTTGTGTTGAAGCTGCAGGCTACCAAATCAGCCGCAATCGTGGAACCAAAGCATCTATCAGAATGCTCGCAGATGGACAACATCCCGTATATGCATGCTTAGCCCTAGCACCAGCTGGGTTGTTCACGATGGCCAAGGACCTGAACCCTGACGAAAGAATCCACCAAGGCAATAGCTCAATGCTGCAAGCTCTGGGATGCCAAGCGGAACATGAAGCAAACATGCAATACATGCAGCAGGTACTTCGGACAGAGCAAACGCACTCCCCTATCACACCCTACACGCTGTATCGGTTGAATTCGCACAGGTCGCCAGCCTCCAGCGGCCTCTTGCAATCGCGGCGCTGGGGCAGGGGCTTTGTGTTCGAGCCGAACTTTGGCTGCCAGCCTCATAACTCAGGGGCTCTCACCAAAATTTCTGGCTGCGAAGCATGCTCTGGCTCTGCTGGAAACATACTGCGAGGGCCCTCAGAGAAACCAGCTTGAATGCGAATAGTGATTCTGATGGATCCGGTGCCTCTCAACCTTTTCATTCAAAGGCAGCTGGGCTCCTCACTGCCGTCAGCGTTTTCTTCAGCTGTCGCAGCCGGCATCTCATCAGGGCGTTCGCTCGCCCTCTTCCACTGTTGCTACAAGAGCTCTTGTCAAGAGTGGGGGTCCGTGTAGTCCAGGTGTGCTGCTGCCCACCTCCGCTGTGTTAAGGAATCCTTTTGAAAAAGGTTTGACCGGGTGTAGGAAGCGAGAGGTGACACAAATGCAGGGATCTACAGATTCATCCTTGTGCGGGCATTACAGATCCAACTGCGGGACTCACAAAAGGGAGCCTCTACAGCAAAAGAAAGGCCACTCAGCAGTCTGCAGCCCAGCACCCACAAGCATGCAGCATGCACACTACGCGGAGCTCATGCAGGAGCAGATTTTGCAACTCACGCGCGCTCTCCGGTGCCCTAGAAAGCTGAGGAGCACAGAGTGCCTCGGCCGGCCATCCTCCGCCCAAGTCAAGAAGCTTGCCCTAAAAAACACTCCCCGCGCGCAGCGCGATGTCAACGCAGAGCTCCATGAACCAAGTCCAATCCTTATTCAATTTGGACACACTGCTACCGTCTTGTGCATGGAGCTCTGCTGCTCTACTGGCCACTCCCTCCCCTGGTGGCACACATGCCCCAGTTGGAAACCACAGAGGCTCCCGGCTCTTGTTGCAAAATCACACATGTTGCGGGCGACACACCTTCCGAGACTCTGATCTTATGGTCACGACTGGACCTGTAAATGCCATATGTTACTGTAGCTTGCTACAACAAGAGCTCAAGTGCTTGATTAATGCTTGCTTGGTCTTCGACCAGAAAAGTGCTGAGCGGTGCTCAGCACCATGAATTTCACAGACCGGAGCGCTTCCTCTCTTGCATCTTGTCGAACAGGCGCTGGAACCGATATAAGTACAACTGACACTGAATACCTTTGCTCCTGGGATTCGTCTCAGTGTTCTTGCTTGACTGAAGGTCTCTGCATCCAAGCCCTGGGCTCTAAAGATACGCCGGAACGCATTACAACCCGTTCAAGCTCCCAGCTCCAGACCGCATCGACATTGTTCTGGCTATCTCGACATCCCCATTACGTCGAGAACCCTATCCACCAGCTCCTGCCAGATGCAGCCAATTCCAACACGAATGGATGCAAGTGGAAATGCGCAACCATCTAAGCCTCATGCTCCAGATTCTTGACGTGCCTCCTTGGTGCCAGTGGTTGGCAGGCGCAGCGTCTTGAGCCATGCGACCAAGGATGCCTGGAATGTCCCACCGTAATTTGCACAGTTCTCACAACCCCCACAGTCCCCATCTGTACATCTTCCCTGTGCCATTTCTAGAACCATTCAAGGCCTTCAGCTGCTTCTGCAGCCAGTTGCTCAGATCGCGTCCTGAGCGCCTCAGCATCACAGCCCTAAACGGCGATCGTCAACAATTCAGGGTGCCTTCAAGGCGTCCTCCTGCTGACGATATTATATTTTGGGTAGAAAGGGATCCCCATCTTGGTCGCAGACCGTAGGAAAGTGTAGTCTGGTCGATGGCTTATTTTCAGATGGACAGCTGTTTAGGAGTCCTGGGCCTTCAAGGGCAAGGTTGAACCTGGCAGAAAAAGCGGAAATATGGGAACGTGATGTTTTGGAATCGGCCTTTTGCTGCTCATCCCATGGCTTGCTAAGAGTACTGATCGGCGATTACAATTGGATCCCTCCAAGGGTTCATTCATGATCACCATCGAATTATGCTCAGAACGACACATTGGAAAGCGTCAGTCATGACGCTACCATGGCCCAAACATGGACCCCGAAACCCTTGTACCACCCCGAACCCTTAATCCTGAACACCATTGGCCCATTTGAAGACCCTACATCCCCATCACAGAGCCATGAAACCACCCTGAGCTCTAAACCTTACAAGCCCCCTTAAGTAGATAGAATATGGGGTATCTATGGGGGTCTTAGTATATTAAAATTATAGCCAAAGTCATATTCTATCTACCTTAAGGGGGACTATAAACC